GTCAAAATTGAAGCCCTTAAGAAGCGTGGTACTTTGACATTTTTGAGATTTTAGAGTATTGATTGAGAGCATTGATAAGAGCTGACCTTAGATTTTGTGCGGAGAAACGATAACGGAGCAAAACAAAACATGACGGCGGTGAAATGGAGAAAAAAATTCTTTTTGTTTTGACATTTGTAAAACCCAAGATAAGAATTTCTCCTTTTTTCACCCCTGATTCAAACATTTTAGTCGTCAAATTTGAACCGTTTCTTTGTGGCGTCATGTCTTTGGTGTCCTTCCGTCTCTATGCTTGCAAGTGAGGACACAACGGTGCGAATTATTATTTGCCCTTGTGAACGCAAACTACGCCCTTGGACACGAAAGGCCAGTTTCTCTCAAATATTGTTTCCACATCTGTCTGAATCGGCGTTAGTGAGCACTTCTCCTTTGGGGAGGTAATCAATCAACCTCGCAGTTGTGGGAAATCAAGTTTCATGATGATTGCACAGGTGTGCCTTAGGCTGGCCTCAATAAAAAGCCCACTCTAAAATGTGCGGTTTTACTCTCAGCAAAAATGCTACGGATGTCTCAAGTTTGCGGGAGCATGCTAAATGCATGCTGACTACAGGAACGTGCACCAGAGCTTCGACACCGTATATCATTTCATCATCATAAGCTGTCTCCAAAGGCGTCTCAGAGAACTTGGCGGTACATCCAACCAGCCTCATAACAGCAGAACACAGCGAGCAGCCCAGGATCTCCACATCCACAATCCTCTCCTCTAAGATCATCAGAGACCACATTTCTGCACCAACTGTCAGAAAGCGTCCCTGGAGGGACTAATCTGCGTATTGAGTGGGCAAATGTTCACATTGATTGTCGTCCGGACTTTTGAAAGAGGTCTTCTCATCGCACATGAATGTCTGTTTTCACGGGAAAAGGCAGATGGCAGACTGTGTGTATTGCCGTAGTGGATCGAGTGGCCTACATTGACGATGGGGGTGTGGGGGGGGTCATGGTATGTGCAGTCCTCTATTAGGGTCGACAAACACAAGTGCGTTTTATGGGCGGCCTTCACTGAGGTATCACCGAGGACGTGACCCTGAGGCTCTTTTTTTTTTTTTTTTTTTTTTGAGTCGTTCATCTCTGACCGCGTCGCCTCATGTTGCAACATGTTCCTGCACAGGAATCTGCACACGATTCCATCCTCGTCCTTGCATGGCCAACATCCTCACCGGACATTTGGCGTATAACAACGGCATGTTTCTAGTTCCTGCCGATAGCGAGCAACTTTGCGCAGCCATCGAGGAGGGCATGGAAGAACACGCAATTATTTCGGGGAAAGGAGAAGCACTCACTGTCACGGATTTCGATAGATATGTGGAAAATGTTGATGAGAAGTAGGTCTTTTTTTTTTTTATACAGAGAAAGTCTCAGATCTATGAATTCAGCTCATGAAAAATGCAGAGCAAAAACCAAAGTGCCGTGTTAAAATGATTTTGGTGAGGGTATTAATATTTGCCAACATCTAATTAACACAACTGGCACGTCAATACATTACACTTGGCGTGATATGGCCGTGCTGTGTCTCCGGTTTAACTGGAATTCGTGATGATTGATTGTTTGTTTGCGCAGAGCGACGCACAGGCTTTAATCGGCGGGGGGGACGATAGTCTGAAAATATCCATTTGTTGTCACAAAAAAAAGCATGTCAAGTCTTTGGTGCCTCGTTAAGACTTTTTAGCTACTGGCATGTCTGCACTATTTTTTTTTTTGTTTGTTTGGTTTTTGTGAACACCACGATACTGTAATACACTTTTGTAATAGGCAACATCTACAGTCAATACAGATGAAAAGGCATCAAAGCACGAGTCATTCCCTTACATATGAGAGGTAAAAGAGAATTGATTTTTTTTTTCTTTTCCCCAGCTAAATGTAATTCTGGAATCATTTCTGAACGTCACACCCCGCATCTAGTCACAGAAATTCAGATTGTAATAAAAATCCCTTCAAAGTAAACGTCGTTCAAACGTCCTGGCATGATTATATCGGGATCAAATTTGATTAACTCAACGTCGAGCAAAAATCCGATCCTTTCGAGTTGCCAGATACATTGAAAGTAATTCAGAAACAATCGAAATTTGGTCACAGTCTTTATGGGCGCCAAAACAGTGGTCAACATTTGTCCGTGTGGCTTTGATATGTTTAAGTATAAATTTTCACCGTTTTTGGACGCGATTTGCGATAAGCGTGATTTGCGCTAAGCGCAACTTATGTTTGTGATTTATCATTTCCCAGTGTAACATCAACAGTAATCTTAGAATTAGTCACCATCCACCATAAGGAATTGTCAACAAGTCATTTGTGTCTCCGCCAGGAACCTAATTATCATTTAATCGGCTTTGTTTCCCGCGGCAGGAGTTCAGCATCATACGCTTGCAAATAGGTATTTTATGCCGCCATTGGACCGGATGCATCTTCAACGTCATTTAAGATTCTCATGTAACAGTTGCCATGACTTGAGTTGGTTGAAACGTTTGATTGCTCATAAACATCGAACATGCTCCAGTTAACACTTGCCGATTGATTGACCGGATGACCCCATGCAAGGCAAACAAATACGGTACAAACCACTGCCATGCAAAATGTAAAATGTGAAAACTTGCTGATTTCGGGGAGGTAACACGCTTATTTAAAAATAAATAAATAATAAAGCTTTAACGTTCTCTCGAGATGATGAACATGCTAGTGTTGAGCGGGTGGTGTTTTACATTTTCACCACATTAAGAGGGAAGGGGAACAAACAAATTCAGCAAAAAAAGTAATCCATGCAAAAACTAAGGGTCTTCCATGACAAATCAAAAGGCTCGCGGTGGCACGAGAAGACTCATCGGGAGATCAAAAGTTGATGGGGGTGAGTTTCATCAAAGGAACTGCGACCGTCTCCGCAGAAGCTTTTTGACAGGCCATCCAATATTTAAATATTTCAGTTATTTTATCAATTATGTAACGTGCGGAAGACCAACCACCCTATCACCATGACTTGCATCTCGAGAGAAACGCGCAGAGTTTAGGAGGAGGCCCGAGTCGAAATAAAACCAAGAGTATCCTTTTGATAAAAGTTTTCCCGATCGCATCAGGGACACCTCAAATCTTGGCATGTGGATTAATGTCGTCCACACATCAATCCAATCATCATGTTTTTTTTTTCCTTTTAGATGTCTTACCCGATTCCCTGTCGCCATAGTCGTCGTAAATGAGTGTGACAAATCAAACACGATGTGGCAAAATATGAAACAACATAACAAGTGTGACAAATGAACGCAACACCATCTCGTTCGTTCGAACGCAATCGGATGGCTTCTTGGCAGCTACTGTAAGATGAATCCCATTTATTGTTCACATGACGAAACACGGTCTATCATCATTAACACGTGGATGACAGCAAGTCATTGCTTTCCCAGCCGACCGTGAGCACAGAACAACCAAAGAGATCTCCTCGCCGCTGCTTTTTTGTTTTTTTTTTTCTCCCCAGCGTCTTTTGCAGCGTCTACAGAAATATTATACTGGTTGTCTAAAGATATAATACACGTACTGCTTGAAAGTGCAGGTAAGAAGCTTGGCACAAGGTTAGTTTTGTGTTTGAAAAGAAATTACCGTCATTACACATGTAAACAAAGACACTATCTCAGGCCTAGCTTAAACCATTCCCCGAAAACGGGCGAGTTGTTGAAAAAAGAACAAAAAATGTTACACACCTGTACACAAATAGAAGCAAATATATAGAAAATACATTTACACGTGTATAATATACATTGTTGTTTTTTTTTTTTTCTTCATAACCCTCTGTCTATTAAGATTAACACTCTTCATTCAAAAAATATATAGGTTATGTCAAAGAAGCAACGAGGCAAGTGAGCCTGAACTGGTCTATGTCATTCATGAAAGTGGTTTTCATGTGGGAAATGGGGCAAAAAAAAAAAAAAAAAGCAGTTTTGCGCCACAGTGTTTGCGTCCCAGGCCATCTGGGGACCTCCTTCATAACATTTACGCAGGATGATGATCTCATCGAGGGGGGGGAAAGTGGCTGTGATGTATGGTAAAGGAAATGACTGTAAACCCTAAATCATTTTGGTGACTTACGGTGACCAATGGAGTTCAGTCCACATCTGTCAAGTGCTATCTACAGCCTCCAAAAAAACAAAAAAAAACCATGGAGATTTGAAGAAATGGATTTGTGCTTTTTACAAACCAACAGCACGTACAAAAGTAGCTTCCTGAAAAGCACAAACATAATCCATCCCCTCGAAGCTTTGTGTTTCATCGTTCAATGATTGGAGCTCGGCGGATCTCAAGAGAGCCTTAGGGTGCTTTCACACGAGCACCTTTTGGTCCGTTTTGATCTATCGCGTGTTTGTATTCCCCCCTTGGTGCGATTTCTTTCGTCAAGTAAGAACTCGGGCGCAGACCAGATCAACTGCCGCGTGCTAAACAAACCCGATGTGGTTATGTTGGTGTTTTCATTACCGCTTCCATCCATCCATTTTCTGATCCACTTATCCTCACAAGGGTCGCGTCGCGGGCCGTGCTGGAGCCTATCCCAGCTGTCTTCGGGCAGTGGGCGGGGTCACCCTCAACTGGTTGCCAGCCAATCGCAGGGCACACACAGACGGACAACACAATCACACCTAGGGACAATTTAGAGTGCTCCATTAACCTGCCACGCGTGTTTTTGGCATGTGGGAGGAAACAGGAGTACCCGGAGAAAACCCACGCAGGCATGGGGAGAACATGCAAACTCCACACAGAAAGGCCGGGCCAAGAATCGAACCCTGCAACTCTGCACTGTGAGACGGATGCGTTAACCAGTCGGCCACCAGGCCCCCTTTCAGTACACTTTCTGGGAAAATAAAACCTTATTACTGTTTGCATTCTTATGCCCGTCACTGACCAATCAGATAAGTGAGCAATGTAATGTGGGGTTTTTGTTTTTGTTTTTTTTTTGGGGACACGTTATGGTTAACTTAGATTGTTTTTTTTGTTTTTTTTAATGCAAAAACAAAACAAACCAGGTCTACAAAGCCATCCACTGTCATGGACCAGAAAATGTTAAGTATGGAAGCTCACCCTCCTACCTTTCCTGACGATGAACTTGGATAAAAAGTTTAAAACACTCTGAGCTTAATCCCCCAGAAATGTTGGGTGGGTGAGACTAACTTGTTGGGTGGAATTTTTGGTTCTTTGCAGATTACCTTGATCCTGAGATACCCATTTTTTTTAAATTAATGTGTCTTCACGCACCGCTGATTATTTTAGTTGTATTCATAATATTGTGTGACGTCACGTTTTATTCAAAGCAAACTGATTTTCTTTTCTCCAGATTTTATGAATATTAACTCGTTTCACAGGTTATGAAACTACGTTCTCATTGATGGAATAAACTCAGGCAAGTGTCACCCAAAAGACATATTTGCTTGTGAGGCTCGTTAATCGATTGCTGAATGATGAACAAATGTAGTATTGATCCCAAAACAGCTATTGAGTGTAATATAACAAATTGTTATATTAGAGAGTTGGACAGACCTGAGGCAGTTAAATGTCCTGTCCACCTGTAAGCAGTTTGTTGTGTACAGTAGTTGCCCCCTACTGAATCCGTACATACATGGGCTGCTGTGAGATATGTTGCAGCATGCTGTTTAAAAAAAAAAAAAAAAAAAGACCCTATGAGAATTTCCAGTTATTCAAATCAGGGAAGAAAATCTCGAATGAGAGTCTTTCATAAGAGTGGCAAATCCAAGGGGCTTTGGATCTCCATTGTCAGGGGTGTGGCAGGGTGTTCTGTATAAAAAATAGCACTGTTCTGTTTTTAAAATGGGACTTTAGATATTTTTCCTCCCATTTTTTCCCCCATTCTATGAGAGTTTTACATAAATAACCACCATTTTTCAAAATATCTCTTAAAACTATCCAAATACAATTGTATCATTTTCACAGTTCTTAAAAAAACAAAACAAACAACAACAACAAAAAAACAAAACAAAACAAACAATGTCGACACAAGGTTAATATAGCTCTCTTTGTTTTGTCCATCTGTTGTCGTTACAACTTTCTTCTATCCAGGTTGTGGCACATAGTGGCATTATTGGCACATTGTTCAAAAATTGAGTTCATCTTCCACCCACAGAAGCCCCTTTGGGTGCCTTTGTCAAATGTCAAACACGTATCGATGATTAGAGATACCGGTGATGATGATCCACACGTCCCGTGAATGTCCGTCCCAACGCGCTATCTGGTCTACATCTTCATGGTGAAATATGGAGAGGGTGTGCACTGTGACTGCTCTGTTTGTCATCTCTAGAAAAATAAATATCTTCACCAATGTCCAAAGAGAGATCACACTACTTTACAAAAGAAGCCGCTTGTGTCCATTTGGATCCTGTAGAGATGCAAAAAACAAAATCAATTACGGTGGTACCTCTACTTACGAATGTCTCTTCATGTGACATTTTCAAGTTACCAAACGTCTCAACAGGAAATTATGGCCTCTTGTTACGAAAGAAATTTCAAGATACGAAAGGTAAAAATACAGTGTGGGCCGCTACTCGCAGCTCCGAGTTTCCTGAACGCAGCATACTTATATAGCTGCTCTGCCATTGGCTATTACCTGGCATCTTCCTTGCATCCCATTGGCTAAGAGGAACCTCTACCATATATGTCTATGTGTGTCGGCATAGATTTACAGTGTGTGTCTATGCAGCGTCCTTGTCATTCGTCCCTCGGGCCACGAGGCGTTCCGATAGTTTGACCTAAATGTGAATCACCCAGAAAAAGTGTTCACCAGTCGGGCGATCGCTCACTATGCTGATGTTTGCCTTGGACATTTTCGAACGATTGTTAAAAGCCAAGAAAAGCCAACGTCCCTGGATCAGTTATTTACAAAATGCCAAACAAAAACCACTTCTGGGAGAGAACATGAACTAAAGAGGGGGAAAAAAAAATGACGAGGACGCAGTTAAAAGTTAAATAAGAATAAGAATAAAAATAAGAACAAGAAACCCTTTATTCGTCTCACAATGGAGAAATTCCAAATTTACAGCAGCGAATGACCATCATTTTTATTCTTTATTCTTTGTTGTTTTTTTTTTGTTGTTTTTTACATTCTGCACAACTCTCATTTATTGTGCAATAATCTAATTGTAACATGTATTTGTTTCATATTTTGATGCGTTTTTATGCTTTAGGAAACATTTATGTCTGGATTTTGTGGGGGGGTGGGGGGCGGTTTGGAACGAATCAGGGCATTGACTGTTACTTTTCAAATATGGGTCAGTGGCAGACCGAATATCTTGTCCGAGTACGTTTTCCTTTTCATGGGAGAGATGAAATCATTTGTTGGTTAATTTAACTTCGGTACTTAAAATGATTGATAAACAATATCCAGCTGGACTGGGCATTTGATGAAATTTCTTTGACGACGGAGAAAAATCGATATCTATTTAGGGCTTATTTGATTTGTTCTTTTTGTTGAAATGTTTTGTTTTTTTGCATCTCTTGATGAATGTTCTGAATTCCCATTCTGGCCCTCGCACTGTTTTGTGGCAAAAAAAAAAAATTGACGGGGGGCTTGCTGAAGGTGGATGCTGTTTGCTGTTTTTTTGGGGGGGTGGCGCAGGGGGTTCTCATTCACCTGGGTAGTACAGATGGGCGGAGCCTGCTTCACACAGCTGATTTCCATGACAAACAACTCATGCACAGAAGAAACAGGAGATACATGTCAGGCTGTTGCCTACTTGCCACAATTTGCCATTGTCTGTGCATGTTAGTTGTGGCTTGTTTTGCTTTGCCGTTCTGTTGTTGTACATTCACGGTTGTCACTCTTAAAACACAAGTACTTTTGGGTTTTTTTGCTCTTTTCTTGGTGTAACACTTGAGTAGTTGACAGTCTGTTTCTTCTGTCGTACGTTTACTTCTTGTGCAGTCACAATTCTGTTCGTTGTGCTTGCTGAAGTTTTTGTGTCGTAAACATGCATTTTCACTTGAGTATCTTCCATCTCTTAATCTGGCTGTCTATTTACTGGAATTTTTGGTGGTTTATTTTGCACGTCAACACTTTTGTCATTTTCATTTAGTATGTCGTGGTTGCGATGTTCTCGCGCTGCCTTTTGTACAATACAGTTCTGTTGAATTGTTCTTATTTTGGTTGAAGATTGAGCATATTCCGACCATAACAAGAGTTGACGTCATGCAAACGACACCCTTGCTCGAGTACTGCTCCCACTTTTGCCTCAACGGCATCAAGACACATTTAATCAACAATCAGGTTAGGTCCACACTTTGTACCATACCCTTGACTAATTTTGCCAACCTTCGTCTGTTATTAAGTAACATAATCCTTTGACAGGAGAGAGGAAAGAAAAAAAGCACACAATCGTAAAATATCAAACGTACCGTACATACTTGACAGTGACAATGCAGTACCTACCAAAGCATGGATTCGGGAACCCTCTTCCTCCAAAGGGAAGTGAACAAGGCCTTCAGCTTGTCAACAAGAGATCTCAAACCATTTCTCTGACACAAAGGCGACAGGAATCAGTTGTCTTTCGGAGGGCGAAGGCCTGTGAGTTAAATTGAAATGTGTTAAAAGCACATCATAGGACATTCAATACGATGTTTAAGTGGACCGTTTGTATTGAATCGCAAACATGACTGCATCGGTGGGAAATGATCATCATAGTCAAACAAATGGGTCACAACAACCAATGAAAAAAATAAAAGTAAAATAATGTGCCCATATTCACCAACAGCGCACTTTGGAGGCAACGTGCTTAATTATTGAAGACACTTTGGACTGTTTGTACCAGATGAATTACTCTTCCCTCACTGCCAGCATAATAAATCCGTTGCAGGGCTTTGGATACAATAAGTAAGTGTGACCATCTTTGCATGCCCAGCAGCTCAGATGACAGAAACTGTTATCCACTCTGACAGCGAATGCTGTTAAAATGAAGAAGCTTCTCATCACACGACACATACAATGTTCAAGGCATTAAAATCCAAAAAGTCAATATTTTAATGTTACCCATGCCTGCCATATTCACCCCCAAAGTGAAATGCTTTCGAAATTGGAGTGAACTCCCTCTTCACCGATGCTTTACCGGTATTTGTGTTCTGGGATCTCCCCGTGGTAAAGAAGTAAACGTGGATTTAAAGTCTTAAGTTGCAGTGGTGACCGTATGTTATTATAGTGACTCGGATGTATTGTACTTGTCAAATATTACATTGGAGTTGACTTTTCAAAATAGTATACCTGTCTGCAATTTCTATCAGGGAGAAAATATCCCCGGAGAGACTTCATAGCCCTTTTCATCACGGGCCGAGTCATTATACACAACAACAGCAGCAGCAGCAGCCCCTGGTAGATTTCAATCATACAGTCGAGTGCGATTTAATGTACGGGGCATGTTGCTCATCCAGCATTCTTGGGTCCTGGATTTGTGGCTAAGCAAGGTTGCTTCAGGTTGATATAAGCTCATTTAAAGATTAAAGTGTATCATGTAACCTACCACAGACCAGTCATGCACCCTCAAGCTCGGATTCACCAAACATTAAGACTTGAAATTTAAGGCTTATATCAGGCAAATATAGTAACTGGCTGATTGATTTTTAGTCGAGGGAATGTCTTGTCATGTTGCAGCCTGACTCCGCGTAAAAAAGTGTGTTTCATTAATTGTTGACGATAAAACAATGGCATCATCTTCAACTTGGAAGCACTTGTACACAATTGTGATTTGTTATGGTTTGTAAAGCCAGACTGCTAAATAAAAATCGATATAGCCACAGGAACCTCTAACACACAGGTGTCAAACCCGAGGCCCGGAGGCGAGATCTGGCTCATCACATCATTTGATATGGTCCGCGAAAGCAAATCAAACATGTTGACTTCTATGATGTTTACGAACATTTTTGCCAACATTTCAAATTCTCATATGTAATATATAAGAGAGCTATTGTAAGTTTTCTTGTTACCAAAACCCTCATTCCAGTAACTTAAACTATCGTTGAATAAACCATTATTCTTGACTTCCTGATATGGTTTCACAGTCAGAACGGCCCTCGAAGGGAACCGGTAACTATAATGTGGCCCGTGACAAAAATTTAACATGATCTGCGTTGGGTCAAAACTGATTTTCCTCATAGGATATGAAAATCATCCATTCTAGGTTCCCAGCATAGAAACTTGTTGACTTCTATCTGCGAAATAGAACGCTATGCACGGCGGCTTGGAGGATCGAACTTGAGATTTTGGGACCAAAATCTCTGGGCAAATTGCAACTTGTACGACCTCAAGTATTCTGCTGTGACAGTACACACATGATTGAAGAATAAACATGTGTGATGGGTCCTTGTCTATTGTACCTGTTTCCATTGTAAGCCGTCTTGTAGACAGGCGTCTGCTGGATCATCTCGTCAGTGTAGATGGGGACGGCGGTCCGAACACACTCATGAGAGCACTGCAGGTTGTCATTGTAGGCAGTGAAGATATCCACCTTGCTGGGAACCCTGGCCGGGGTGAAATCTGTCAGGTTTTGGCAGCTTTCTTCCTGCTGGTGGATCTTGCGCTGATGACTATTGTGGCGGCCATTTCCTGACTGTGCACAGCTACAAAAACACGCACCAAAGACAAAAAAACAAAAATAAAATCATACCTTGTGCTTGAGGAGTCTACAGGCCAATCTGAAGAAAGCAGTCAAGTGTTCTAGACATTGTCTTGTCATGAGTAAAAAGAAAGGAGACTTTCCTACCAGTTTTTAAGGACAAGTGTTGTGATCAAGGCTGCGATAACCATAATGAGAGACACAGTGATAGTGATTATCTGATGAACTGCCAAACCTAAAATACAGTCAAGAAACAAGAACACAAACATTTTAATTAATAGTTGAGGAAATGCCCCTGAAATAAAATCAAAACATAAAATCATCAGTACTGTTCATAGGGCCCTGCAATTTTTCATTTTTTTAATGAAACAAAACTAACAAAATACACATTCAAATCGATTTACTCTTGCGGGATTTGGTTTGCTTCTGGAATCAAACACATTATTATTCAGATTCTACTTGTATTAACTTACCGTATTTTCCACACTATAAGGCGTTTCGGATTATAAGGTGCACCTTCAATGAATGCTTTGTTTTAAAATTGTTTACACGTATAGGTCACACCGCATTACAAGGCACATAGAATAGAAGCTACACTTGTGGCTGCGGTTGCGTTATGGATCCTATTAGTACTATATAGTACTATTTTGTTATTTTTATTTAGTGTTCTTTGTTTCTCTCGCTCTTTCTCACACACACACACACACACACACACACACACACACACACACACACACACAGCTGAAAATATCAACTGAATTGACGCCTTGCACAAACAGTGAGTCTAATTTGTGTTTCCACAATGTCAGGCACAACATACTCGGGCATGCACGTCATAAGCCTATCACAATAACATTTCGGGTCCTGACCCAAACTCAATGAATCCTTTATATCAAGTAGTCACACAGCCGTACTTATTGTTTCTGCCAAATTCAATATGCAAAACATTTTCATTGTGGCCTTAAATTGGTGAACTTGACCGATGACAATCTTTTACTTCAAAATCTGTGTGAAGTACTAGTTGGCTCTATTTCTCCCCCACACTAATGTAGACGATAACCCGGACCCACAACCTTTTTGTTGTGGGTTTGTGGTTTTTATTTATTTATTGATGTATTTATCTTTTTTTTTTATCCTTTTTTTTTTGGGTGACATTTTTGTTTGAGTGGATCATTTGTTCGCGAGTTTTTTGTTTCATATTTTAGAATTAGTATGCTGTGTGAGTGAGTGATTGTGCATGAAAGCTTACTGGACACAATGACACATTGCAGCAGGTGACACGCTTCAAGAGGAAAAGTGAAAGAAAAGAGCGGTCATGATGAAAAGGCCTCGGTGGGCCCTCATACGTCTCACCTCTCCATCAACCAGCTGTCTAGTGAGACTGATCCAAGCCAATTTGTCTTTGGGAAACTCAAAAGGAAGTGCAGCTCAGTCATTTTGGAAAAGCTGCCTGCTGCCCGGCTGGACAGCCCCCTCGTATTATAAACTTCTCTGGTCCAAGTCAACCTTGGATAAATGATATGTATACTTGGCAGTCTTAACTTCCAGCTGCAATTGGGAGTCCTTTGCCACAGAAAAGACAGATTAACTTCTGACAAGTCATTTGCATTTCCTTCAAACCCTCTCTGGCCGTGACTGACGTCAAGGCTGTGGCCATTTACAAAGTAACATCTGTCCAATCTCAGCCATAATAGAGCAAGGCCCTGACCTTGATCAATAGCCAAGGTCCCTTCAGACCAGAATAGCTTCATTTCATAAATGGTAGTGGGAGTAGGAGCTACTGTACTCTGAGGCATAGAGTAATTGTAAAACGGTATCTTGTAAAACAACCAATGATGTATTCCGGTAGGTTGGGCTAAACGATGTACAGTGGTACCCCTACTTACTAAAATTAATTGGTTGTGGAAGAAATTTCTTAACTACAAAATTTTGAAAGAAGAGACGCGTTTTTCATGTAAATGCCCTAATCCGTTCCAAGACCCCCCAAATTCAGACATAAATGTTTTCTAAAGCATAAATATTCATCAAAATCTGTAACAAATACATGTTACAATTAGATTATTGCACAATAAATGAGAGTTGTGCATAATGTAAAAAAGAAAGAATAGAGTGAAGAATGAAAATGATGGTCATTTAACTTTTAACTGCGTCCTCATCGTTTTTTGGCCTCTTTAGTTCATGTTCTCTCTCAGAAGTGGTTTTTGCCTAGCGTTTTGTAAAGAACTCATCCAAGGACGTTTGTTTTTGTCGGCTTTTAACAATTCTTCACAAATGCCCAAGGCAAACATCGGCATAGTGAGCGATCGCCCGACATGTGAACACTTTTTCTGGGTGATTCACATTTACGTAAAACTATCGGAATGCCTCATGACACAAAGGACGAATGACGAGGACACTGCATAGACACATATCTATCTATCCACACACGTAGACACGTATGGTAGAACTCCCTTCTTAGCCAATGGGATGCCAGGATGATGCTTGGTAATCGCCAATGGCAGAGCAGCTATAAGTATATTGCATTCAGGAAACTCGGAGGTGTGAGCAGCAGCCCATACTGTATTTTTACCTTTCGTATCTTGAAATTTCTTTTGTAACTAGAGGCAATATTTTCCTGTTGAGGCGTTTCGTAACTTGAAAATTTCGTATGAAGAGACGTTCGTAAGTAGCGGTACCACTGTAATTGTTTTTGTTCTTTGCAACTTTGAAGATCAGAAGGCTTTAAAATGGCTGACATTATGGAAAACACTGCATTGAAAACACAGGGAGAACATGCAAACCCCCATAGCTGGACTCAAACCCTGCGCCTCTGCACTGCGGGGCCGACGTGCTAACCAGTCGACCACCGTGCCACAGCTAGCAGTGAATGAGCTAATAATTCTTCAAAAAAATACTATTGTGGAGATACACAGAGAAACAGAGGAAACAGAAGGACCACTTGTCCTTGGTCTGCCGTATTATATCCTTTGTGCTGGCTATCAGGTTGAAAAATCATTTTTGGCAAGCACCTTTCTTCAAAGATACTCAGTTTGGTAAAATTGCTGCCAAGTAAAAGAGGCAGAGAAGATGATATGGTAGATAAAGATGGAGGGTACAGAAGGTACCTCTGGGCAGCGAGCATTGCAGTCTCCTCTAAAGCCTTCATGGTGCTTTGATGTACGTGACAAAGGATGGTGGTGAAATGGATTATGCCCCCTTGCTACTTAATTTAATAAGAGATCTAGAGCAGAATATAAAAATTCAGAGCAGTGTTAATGCATGGGCATGTCAAGGTAATCTGAAAATACACCAGTGCAGGTTGTATGACGCTGGAAATATATTATCTGTTCAACGAAATGAAAAAGAGGGTACACCACAAAATCTCCAAATAGATAGATAGAAAAATGAATTTAAACTGCCAAAACAGTAAAGGGAAGACTGCGGAGTACAACAAACCCCCATATTTTACTACTTGCAAACTCACAATTTATTTTTAGTTTTTTTTTTTGTTTTTTTTTTTTTTTTTAAACTCTAGATTGTCCCTGGGTGTGATTGTGAGAGTGAACCGTTGTTTTGACTGTGTGTCCGCTGTGATTGGCTGGTAAACCAGTTCAGGGTGTACTCCTCTGACTGCCCGAAGACGACTGAGATAGGCTGCAGCATGCCGAAGCGTTTAAGATAATGGGTGGATGGATGGACTATACATCTAGCTATAAATATATCTGGATCCAGATGAGTTTAATTTGTGCACCCACTTGACAAAATAAAATGGAATAAATTGGACAAAAACTTTTTTTCAGTGTAGTTGCCAAGCAAATGAGTTCTAAGTGTCAAACAGCTTTCGTTTTGTGCAACTGGCTGGCTATCAGTGTGTAATTGCAGGCAATTGTTGGAAGAGACATTTGGAGCAAATGGAGACAACACCCACGCGGCATCACTCATAAAGCCGATGAACAATGTGGGGAACGCCTCTTATCCTTTAAATGTTGATGGAACTGAAAGAAACACAGTCACCTCGCTACCAGCTGAGATTCCCAGAGACATATTTAATACAGCCAACACTCTGCCACAACCAGAAACCTTGACCGGACAGGTGAGGAGAAGACTTCCGTCAAAGGCGGACTGCTGATAGTTAGGAATTGGCAATTAACGTTGGTGTCAAAATGTCAATCTATACTGATTTCCACTGAGCCACCAGGCAATCTAAAACACTTACTGAAGGACGGAGTGCTGAGAGAGGTGGAGTGGAGAGCGGGGGCAGTGTGAGATGAGGGAAAGGTTGAAGGGGGTATCAGAAACAATTGCTCGACAATGCATCGCTCTCATTGTCAAAGGCATCACTGAATAATTCAGTCGGTCTGGATGGAAAAATGGCCAAAAAGAGGAAGCTGGGGTGTATTGCTACGATGGTGGTGTCTTTTAGAAGAGAATAATATCTGTCGGCATTTATCGAATATATTGATGTTCGATATCACTTTTTTTTTTTCAGAACCAGTATTCACTCTTTTAGTACTCACAAATACACAGGACCAATACATCTAGCGCTTTTGAAATCCAAAATTACGTTGAACATAATGACAAAAATGTGAACAGCTTCTTTCTGAAGCAGTAATAGCACCGCAGCATAATCGCACCAACTACAGCCGAGCTGTACTTACTCAATGTCAAATTTTGTTTCCCTTACGTATGGCCGGTATTGGCAGCCACCACGAGTACTGATACCTTAAATATACAGTGTGTAAAATTTGGTGCCATCTAGTGGTGAACTAATAGAATTCAACGACCTAAGCTCAAAGTGCGAGCATTTTGAAGCATGCGTACTACGGTGCCTCAGAGGGAGCAAGCCTACCACCAATTTCTTCAGCAGAGGTGCAAGCAAAATGTCGCCCAAAACGACTTTGAGTATGACCTCAAGCGACGGAGTAATTGCATGGCAATTTTTACACATGCTGTAGTCATCATAATGAGGAAATACGTTCACCAAGTTTGTCTTCTTCGGGTATCCATCGCAGAAAGATAGCGGCAAAACATGGCCGCCTCCTGTCGGGAGGTACGTCCAATGTAATATAATTAGTGACTACTTCACCTACAATCATGTTTAAAAAAAAATATGTTGATGTAATAGAACATATTTTTTTCACATATTATTGGAATTAAATGCAGGCTTTTGAAATCCAGTTGTACCTTTACTCACGAAACCAATATGTTCGGGAAGAAATTTCTTAACTAGAAAATTTGGGAAGTAGAGACGCGTTTTCCATGTAAATGACCTAATCTGTTCCAAGGCCCCCCAAAAATTCAGACAGAAATGTTTCCTAAAGCAGAAAAATGCTTCAAAATATGTAACAAATACAGTGGTACCTGTACTTACGAAATTAATTGTTTCTGGGAGAAATTTCTGACCTAGAAAATTTTGTAAGTAGCGTTTTCCATGTAAATGCCCGAATTCCTTCCAAGCCCCGCCCCCACCTCCCCCATGTGCACCCACAATCCATGTCACATACCTGACATTTAAAATGAGTTAGTCCCTGTTTCTGTCACGAGACGTTTATTTTCTTAACTTAGATGATCTTAACTGGTTAGCAGATGGGCATAGGAATGCCATTCATCTCAAATATTCCAAACGGCTCTATTTCCTGTCTAATAGTGGTATCAAAAAAAAAAAAAAAAAAGACAGCATCTGGACCTCTCTTGCTCGAGGCGGATATGTCAAGCCATGAAAAAGTTGCTGAGCAAAGGACAGACAGTGAAAGCATCTGCACACTCTGGTCTCTTCATGTCCTCTTGGCTGGGTGTAAATCGTGGAAAAGGGGGTGTGACTCGCCTCGCCTGTCAACCGGCATCAGCATTTCAGTCTACATGAAATACCCGGGAGAAGGAGATTGATTTTTCATCCACTTTCAATCGTCAATACTGATCATGGGGAAATGAATTTGACAGGCCAGGGTAACTGCAGTGAAAGTGGTTTGTGTGTTTCCATGTCTTTTTTTTTTTTTTTTTTTTAAGAGGCTTAGTTATAGGTCTTCGCAGGTCTCAACACAGGTTAGAATGATACATTTTAATGATCAGTGAATGTTCTTCTTTAAGCTTTACACTTAGCATTAATTTTAAACGTCCTCACATTGCTCCACTCTCAAAACGGCATTCATTTTTCTGACTCTTTTCATTTCACACTCTTCCTCAACCCTCCAGTCACCTCTACACTTCAGAGGTTGCAAAACAAAGGTGGAAGACCACAATATACCACAAACGGCACTTTTATTTGCATTTACATTGCCATTTCACGAGCATTTAGCAAGGGCCAAATTATCGGAAGTGCTTTTCCTGACTGCATTTTCAATCATCGCTTTATCTACGACGGTGCCAACAGCGCCGTCGGTTCGGCATTCAGTGAGTTGGCAGTTTGAACAACACAGCCATTCAGAATTACTAGGAACCATACGAGGACATCAAAACGCATGCTTTGGGGTCCCTCCTGAGGTCATGTATAAATTGAGATTCCACTCTATTTGTTTTAATAAATGTTTCATTATAATTTTTGTTTTAAGCTCCTGTTATGTTTGCCTTATCATAGTAATTTAGTTGTCAGCAGCAGGTCGATGGGTAGGCTCCATCCAGCTGCGTCCATAATTGTTTACAAGATTTTCTGCATCTGTTTGGTCTTTGCTGATTCATTGCCATTTCTATGTTCTTTGTAACCGGCTTGTGGGTTTTTTGTTTGTTTTGGTGTGTTTGTGTGTTATTCCTACCACTTTGGGTATTATTCAGTTTGCTGGCCGCTCTGAGCTGTTTAAGTGCATTTAGGTCCACCTGCCTTCAAGCAGCATTTCGTGACAGACCTTGATCGGAATGCATTTGCAAAAGAATAAGATTATTGGGTTTTTTTTGTTTCAGCCAAGAGTAGCCTTTCATGTTCTGTTTGTCAAACTCGACTACACGTATAAATGGCAATATTGAAATGATAGCTGAGCTATCTATGGATGGCGTTCGTCTGCACGATGGCAAAATGGGCCGGAGCGAATGTCATGTTACGGCTATTGGACACACCGTTATGCTACCACTATTATGTCAAGATAGAGCTCAAAAGTCTGAATTACAGCCGTGCAAATAAAATAAAATAAAATGGCGGAGGGTGCTGGAGCCTATCCCAGCCGTCTTCGGGCCGTCGGCGGGGGACACCCTGAACTGGTTGCCAGCCAATCGCAGGGCACACAAAGACGAACAACCATCCACGCTCATATTCACACCTCGGGACAATTTAGAGTGTTCAATCAGCCTGCCATGCATGTTTTTTGGAATGTGGGAGGAAACCGGAGTACCCGGAGAAAACCCACGCAAGCACGTGGAGAACACGCAAACTCCACACAGGGAGGCCGGAGCTAGAATTGAACCCACAACCTCTGCACTGTGAGGTCGACGCGCCAACCACTCGACGCGGTTCAAACTCATTATGAAAATACTTACAATGCGGAAATTGAACTCAACTGAAGTCTGGGTAATCCATCCACTGCTCACCAACGAATTTCATGTCAGAGGGGCGTTTTTCTGAATGAATTTGGGGGATTGTGCACTCAACACCCGCCCACCCAATACATCCTAGACAACTATAAACACATAAATTAGATGCGTGCTTATTCACTGAGACAAAGCATATTAATGACTTTCATTTGTGCTGACTGCTGACGTTATTCATGAGTCAGTTTGACTCATGCAGATTATTTAGTGCAAGGGTGAGTGCACATACTGTAATCTCACAGTTACTGAGAGCCTGACTAATTATGATAAGTACTTTTTTTTTCTTAATCTGCAGTGACAGGAGCCTTATGTAAAGTTAAAAGAAGTATTTAAAAACTGCAGTTTCTTCAAATGTTTTGAATTAAACTAATCAAATTGAATCTGGGGCAAAATGTCTTTGGAAGATTTTATACACCAATAATGTTACATTCAGCAGGGGGTGCGGTTGATGCCAAATGCTTTAAACAACAAACAAATAACAACAAAAAGCAGGGCGACTGAAGTCTTAATTGTGGGTGCATAGTTCAACAGAGAAAACATGATGAACCTGGTTAATAGAATAGGGTAAGGTGTGTTATGTAGCCCATATGAGAGAAAAACGGCTGCTGGAGAAAAGAAATGTTTAGGCTTGCCTTCGCTTAAATAGGGCACGTCTAACTGGAATGCACGGTGCATTTTTAATCAATATCTTGAAATATTTAGCATGGTTAAGTAAGTTGGCACCGTGGGGGTTAAGTCTAAAAGACAACACGATGATGAACATATCATCGCTGTCCTGTGAAAAACACGTATGCCCATTTTTGTCATAAAAAAAAAAAAAAAAAGAAAAAAATGAAATTAATGGTTGTCCGCGTTTCACAGGATAGCGAGGATATATTGTATCCACATACTCCCAAAACAGCTGGGTTCCAACTGCACACAAATACAAGTCGGATACAAGACAGCAAACATACATCATGAATACAAAAACCTTTTGTCAGAAGCGCACAATGAATGAGACAGTACTACTTGCACTTTGGGGCATGCGGGCTGTTGATGGTTCTACTGAGGCCGAACAGTGACATGAAAATATAAATTCCTCAATCCAAATTTTTATTCCACTCTGCACTGAAATGTAATCTAACTACTATCCACAAAGTTCATGGAAATTGTTTGTGTACCGTATTTTCCGCACGATAAGGCGCACCTAAAATGGAAATTGTTTGTGTCCCGTATTTTCCGCACTATAAGGCGCACCTAAAAACATTCATTTTTTCTCAAAAGCCATCAATGCGCCTTATAATCAAATGCACCTTATATATGGATCAATATTCTGGTTTCTTGGAAGTAGTATTTTAAATGTTAAAATGTAAAGTGCTTTGTTACAGCTGCAGCAATTGTGAAAGCTCTGTGTAAATAAAGCTGCAATTGCATTGTATGGTATTCCTTTAGCGTAGCTCCATCTAGTGGATGCATAACAGCACAGCAGCCGCTATTGTAGCGTCTATTCTATGTGCCTTATAATGCGGTGCGCTCGATACATGAAAACAGTTTTAAAATGGCAATTCATTGAAGGTACGCCTTATAATCCGATGCACCTTATAGTGTAGAAAATACGTTAACCTATACACAAAGTTAGTGGAAATTCTTTGTGTCATATTTGTCCAATGCAAACAAAGTAACCCAATAACATGCAAACAGCCAAGAGGGAGGACAACACTGACTCATCTTGTTTGGTGGAAGGGAAACATTTTTATGGCAGTCGAAACAATATTTTGAGCAGTTCTCCACACAATGAATCTCTGTGGCAGTGACAGACGGACTGATAAGCAAATGGCCGGAGATATCTTACCTGATGTATCTCCATATGGCTTTGGTGGCTTGACAGTCTCCCCAAAGCTGTTTGCGGCCTTTGTGGTGCTGAGCCTCTTGGGTTCCGGTGTAGTCACCATAATAAACGTCCTTTGGGAGAGCCTCGTAGTACTGCTAGTGGTTGTTGCCACCGTAGTAGTTAAGGCCCGGGTGGGCAGGTTAACTTTGGGCTCATGTTTACCATCCCCATCTGTACTATCTGTGCCTGTGGGTCCCCAGTCAATAAATCCGGCCACCGTAGTAGTCCGGCCCTCCTGAGACTTGTCAAAGCTCTCCCATTTGAGCTGCCTTCTGGCTCTGAGTAGCAACCTTGCTGCGTCTCCCCTGTTTGCTCTGGAAAAAGCCGCTGGAGATTCCGCTATGACTGGCTCACCCATCTCCATTTCAGAGAACGGCAACCTGCATTCCTTACATGGTGCCGGTCGTTTGTGCAGGGTCTTCCGAGACTTTTGCGCTGCGACCTTTGGCCCTATCCTTAATTTATTGTCTTGGGGTGGAGGGATAGGGCTCAAAAGCTTGCGCGCCAGAGGGCTCACCGTTCTCCAGTGGATGGTGTTCGGCGTGTCCCAAACGGGCTGCAGGCGAGGTCTTGAGCGAGGCACCGGCTTAGGCATGAGTTTGAGCGCCAAACCTTGACTGAGAGGGCTGCAGACAGAGAAGTCCAAGGTCATGTGGGTCATTGCCAGCAGAATCCACACCCGGTGCCCCACACAGCTGCCTGGCTTCAAAGCAGATGGACTGCTGATAAAAGAAGACATGAAAAGAGGAAAGTCATTTGAGATTCAAGCTGCGCACTACGTATTCAAACCATACAAATTTGATAAGTAAGGGTCTATCATTAAGAATAACGTCTGTATTTACCCTCCATTTAAACTCTTGGCCAAGTTTTACTCCATAACTTGGACTCAATTAAGCCGCGATATTAATTAGTTTCACTGAAAACCACTTGAATTAAAGTGTAAAGGTCAGAGAAAGTGAATGTACAACACGGACGATGATGGCTTTTATCCTTTGACGTTTTTGCATTTGGAACGCCTTGAATTTCCAGATGCATATGAACCCCGGGATAATTAAAGCAACACGCAAGGACATTCACCCTTTACCTAATCCTCATTTCATGCCTTAGTTCCCGCAGACACAAAAAGCATATGTTTCCCAGAGGCTAATTATAATACCGAATGCATTGCGATGCTCAGTAAGGTAGCTCTCCCGCGATACACCCGGAACAGAGAAAAGAACAGCACGCACATCGCAGAAATCTTGATCCAAATGGATGTTTGCATGAACAAATTCTTCCCTTTTTATGTTTCAACGGTAGACAACCACGACTGCCGCCCGGCGACAAGGCCGCATTTCTTCCTCGATTCATTCAAGTATATCTTGCGTCTATCCTTGAACATGTTCAGCTCAAGCATGTGAAGGATTTGATTTGGAATCACCGCATCGATTTGAATTAACAACCCATACCATTGCAAAACCATGACGTGGTCGCGGCAAATAACACTTGGGTTTTATTTGACACTTTAAAAGGAGTTCATAATTTTCTTTTAGGTACACGTTTCCGTAAGCCTCACTGGCACTGAGACACCATGCAACTTGCTCCTAAATATAAACGCCGGAGAGGAAAGCACAAGTACGCTGCCTGATAAATAATTTAGGATGGCATTTTAATTGAGCCATAAAAGGTAACTGATGTGGTCACGACACCGCAGTGACAAGGTCGACATATTGTTGACAAGTATAATTAGTATTTCAAGAGCTTCAGCCCTGACCTCGACTGAGATCCTGGCAATCATCACAATGGAGGCGACAGTGTTTGGAAAAGAGAGCTGAATTAAGAAGCGTACGGTTGACAAAAGAACAGAAAATGACACCGGGTGTGCATTTTTACAGAAGATATGGTATGTTTCAAGGAGTGTGCCAATCAGTGTGACATACACTGAACTAGGGCTACAACTATTAATTTATAATCAGTCAAATGGGATAGAGTCAAACATTTTTTTTTATATTTCCACCCCTCTATTCAAAAGCACATTCTTTCAAATTGGCAGTGCACAAAGGTGCACAGACTGGTTGCTGCATTAAAATCCCACAGCTCTTATAGCCATACAATTATGAAAAAATATATGTATACAGGCCCGGTGGCCCAGTGGTTACTCACAATGCAGAGGTACCTGGTTCAATTCCAGGTCCGGCCTCCCTGTGTGGAGTTTGCATGATCTCCCTGTGCCTGCGTGGGTTTTCTCCGGGTACTCCGGTTTCCTCCCACATTCCAAAAACATGCATGGCAGGCGATTGAGCACTCGAAATTGTCCTTAGGTGTGAGTGTGAGCGCGGATGGTTGTATGTCTATGTGTGCCCTGCATTTGGCTGGCAACCGGTTCAGGGTGTCCCCCGCCTACCCCCCAAAGACAGCTGGGATAGGCACCAGCACTCCCCACAACCTTTGTGAGGATAAGCGGATCGGAAAATGGATGGATGGATGGATGGATATATATGTACATATACAATGTTAACTATCTGAGTGATTGGTTGGTAGGACGGTCGTTTCCAAGCTGGTCAACAGCAACCCCCTTTTGTTGAACACCATCAGGTAACACCCCCTAAAGAAGCCTTTTGGGTTTTTAAACGACTGTACAGCCATGAGCGCAATCCCAACACTCATATCTCTCTCTCTCTCGCTCTCTCTCTCTTTTTAATGTTACCAAATGTCATCAATCATTTGACGGCTGTGGGCACTCTCTTAAAATAGTCCAACTTTGCTTGTTTTAGACTTGTTTATTGACACTCCAGTTGATGATAACCATTAAACTAAACACACACAAAGAAAAAAAAATGTATAATGGGTATATGTGAACTCGACACGTTATGCGTTTTACAAACATCGCTAGCGATGCAAACGGATTCAATGCAAAACCCTATCAACAGAGCTAGCGGCTAAGAAAAGGTACTTCTCTGGCTCCAAAAGAACAATTTTTCAAAACACTGCATCAACATACACTGCCAGCTCACGTAACCCGATTGACAAGTATGTATTCTTCCTATGATGAAAAACAAGTTCTATTCAATGTGGTTCAGTCTCCAATTGCTTCTTCTGGTCTTTCATCTGATGTGATTTGCATGTGCATTTCCCCCAAAGAGGCCAAGGCGCGCACACAGCAGGAACAGCACACTTCAATACAAGGTACACAGCAGGGACAGAACAGGGTGACTGACGTAATAATCGTGCAACACAGCAAATTGATCATGAAATTCATTTTGTACTTTTAGCGATTTTGTTGTTGCTGCCCTACACGACACGCGACCCCCCCCCCCAAAAAAAGTAAAAATAAAGAAACTGATTCAACAGACATCAGGGATTCGTAATTTAATATCAAGACTAATATTTTGACACCATACCGAAAAAAATAAAAATTGCATGTGTACAGCACAGATGAAAACTAAAGACTAGTATTAGCGATGTGAGCATACCAGATTGCTTTTTGATGCAAATGGGTGTCTGGTGTCCTACTTTTTGAGTACATGCTCCATCATACCGTCATTACCAACCTAAGTAAAAAAGTTAAGCCTAAACAATACGGTTGGAAATCCCTTTAGTGCAGATTGTGATGTTCCCTGATTTGGAGGACAGGGTCACAAAATATAATGGCGGTGAATGCTCTCTCTGCGAGGAAAAAGACAGATGGGTTTTGGTTGGAAAGACACATTTGCAGCTGAACACTGAGCAATTGGAACCTCTGGTGAACTGGGGACAATTCCTATTCATGATTGGGAAGGTTTAAATTCACCAAAGGTTACTTTATGTAGAACATGAGCATTATTAGCAACCTCCTAACTCTTTCATTCCACAAGACGTATTTGTACGGTCTTTTTAAAATTAGGCCCCGCCTACCAAGGACGTACTTGTACCATAGAGAGGAGGAGGGTCTGATGCAATCTGTGAATGGGAATAAGCCGTTTGCATTGTAAATCATGTAAAAAGTGACCAGTAGGTGGCAGTGGTGCCTCACGTGATTGAAATGCGTGCTTTTACAAAAAGTTATTTTTCTCCGTTTTTTGCCCAGGAATCGCCATTTTCATGAAACTTAGCCATTTTGTAATGCCGATTGCTGAAGAATGGAAAAAGAAACAATTGTTTTCTTTCTGCTGAAAGAAGAGAGTCCAAACTTTATTTTGGTAGGGGTTTATATAGCATTAGAACCAAATATTCTGTGGGCCTTGCAAGATCAGTCAAAATCCAGTAAAACGCTGGGGGTTGAGGGGGTTGCTCCAGTGAAAATGGCTGGGATTGAATGAGCCAATCAAGAATCTCAGGACGATGGGCCCTCTCTCAAAGCACAGAGTAGAACCGAATAGTTTGTTGTAAAATAAAATATGAAGTAGCAGTCGGGTGGCAGTGTTGGGGAGGGGCGGTCAGACACGGCTCGACTTTGATCTTCATGTTTAATCTCGAATCTTTGGCAAAGAAAGTTGATTTGATGTTGTGCCAAACACACATTTGCGATTGAACCATTCCTCGTTTTCATGGCCACACTATTATACACGATACCAGTGGATTTAATTGCAAATATTTTCAGCACTGATCAAAATTTTATGATGGCCTGAAATCTCTTTTTTTTTGTACTGGGTCAAAAATATCATTTGTTGGGTTCGGTGCTTTGCAAACACGAAAAGTGAGGACAGACTAATTAACTGAGAGGCTCAAGTTCCTCACATCATGAAGGATGAAATGAGCCTCATATTGCCTTTCTAGTTAGCTTCACAACAAAATGCTGAACAAAAGGCAGGGTAAAGGATGACGATGATTGTTTTCATTCTTCGATTACGGGGGCTTTTAAGATAAAGATTGTTTTGCATGAGAGGATATTGCCCTCCTAACCTTTTTTATGTCGTATGAGTATTCATTTGTTCCCTAGATGTTTGAAATGAGCCACAGTGGAAGTTGAGTGCTTCGGAAATCTGGGGATTTACGATCCAGCCCTTCTTTTTGCTTCATGTCAGCGTTACCTCATAGATTTCATGTAGATATGATCAACTGGCGCTTGTATTTTTCCAAAAGGATGCAAGAAAGAGAATTGTGGCCTGGAACTGTCACAACACTGCAGCCTAGATTAATTGCACGACCGCCTTGACACCACTACGATCAAGCTTTTACATGTCCGGGTCTTTGCACTTTTTCGTCGCTGCTCCTCCGTCAACTCTGCACAAGTACACCTACTCGCCCATCTATCGACTCCCTAATATTTTAATGGCGGGTTGTTGTAAAGCGCACATTATCCCAGCTGACTTTGAGGCAAAACACGGGGTAAATCCTGAGCTGGTGACCAATCACAGGTCAATAATAGGCAAAATTTAAAAAAAAAACGGACTCTCACATCTTCAGTTAAATAAACGCCAAAGCACAGTGGATCTCAGGGATTTGAGTCAGTTAACGCCAAAGCGCTCACCATGGTAGTCAGTGGCCTCCGAAGTAGCGGATTTACACAGGCCACCCGAAGGGGAGTTGGCACAAAGCACCATTGGGGTTACTCCTGCACTTTGCTGCGTAGTCAAATTGTCATTGTTTTCCAGCGCACTGCGCTGCTACAGTAATTCATCCTCATCATCAGAATTTTTTTATGTACTCGTGCTGGATTTTTTTTTTGTATTTTTAGGGGTGCCTCAATGTAGCTGGTGCCAGTATTGCTTTCGATTGGTTGCCATGACAACCAGGATCAAATTTATTTGAGGTTCTTGTTTTG